CCTTATGTAATCAGTTTATTAAATAAAAAAGTTTTGACATTGATGAATATAGTGCTATAATGCTACCCTTATATAATTCATTAAATAGACTTTTGCTAGATGACATATTTTGACCGTCCCTGATCTTTTGTTTTGTCGTTCTACATTTGCTTATTTTTTTTCTGCATTTTATTTATACTTAGTTGTCGTGCTATGTTATCATCTTACCCGCCCCTGATCTTTTGCTTAGTCGTTCTACATTTGATTATTTTTTTTGCATTTTACTTACACTTAGTCGTCATGCTACGTTATTATTTTATCTGCCCCTGATCTTTTGATTTTTTTCTGCATTTTACTTACCATAGTTGTCATGCTACGTTATTCATCCTATCTATACTTGTTTTTGTCCTATTACCTTAACTGCACTTAATCTTTGCCCTATTTATATCTAAATTATAAAGGAACCTGAAGAACTCACTATTAGCAATCGCTATATATGGTTGCTGCAACTGATGATATATTATACGATAATGTCCAAGGCGATTTGGTAGTTAATGATGTCCTATATAATAGCCAAGATGAATTTGATGTTATTAACGATTTTTTACATGGAATTGATCAGGATAAATATGAAAATGGCAATATGATGAACTTTGAAGGTGCTCAACATAAGTCAACGGTGGTATATAATGATTGGCACCAAACAATTAGTGAAGGTGTCCAGGGGGTAGAATTGCAAACGAATACAATATTTCTTAATTGGGATCATGCAATGAAGGAAGTTAAAAAGTATGTGAAGAGGCAAGGATTTAGGTTTCGCTGTTATCATGTTGAAAAGTTGAATGAAACAATCCGAAGGCGCACATTAGTTTGTGAGCACTATGGTAAACCTGAGGCAACAAAGAGTAAGAATTCAGAGAAAGAAACAACTTCCAAGCGTGTTGGGTGTATATAGCAAGTAAATCTTTCATGTCCGGAGAAAACCAATCCTCACAAAGTCGTATACGTTACAAAATTGATTGATGAGCATAAGAACCATGACCTTGATCGAGAGCATTATGATTTTCAGGAAAGCTTGGAGTTTACAACGGATATGGTTAAAGACGTTAAGTTTTTTGTGATTAAAATAAATTGCAGCCCTCAGCAAATTCACAAGGCCCTTGAAGAGAAGTACTGCGTGAAGATTTATATGCTAGTATTACACAAGATAATTTGGTGATTTCGCTCCAAATCACGTGACCGTGCAAATGATGCAGGTCGTTTATATGATGAATTATTAAAGAAAAAAGAAAGTGATCCTCGATGGTATGTTGAAGTGGATTGGGACCCTGACAGCAAATGCCTTTGCCAATTATTCTATATGTCTCTGATCAAATTGAACGGTGGTTAAAGTTTGGCGATGTAATTTTAAATGACAATACTTCATCTACCAACCGTTATGAGATGGCACTGTCCCTTTTTTTGGTGGTTGACAATCATTTGTCTTCTCGGTTGGTAGCTCAGGCCTTAACAGATGATGAAACAAAGGAGGCACATTGTTGAATATTACAACAAATCAAAAAGGCGACATCTGAAGCTGTTCCGCATGTTATGTTTACTGATGCCGACTCTGCTCTGGTTGCTGCAATATGAGATGAGTTTCCAACAGTCAATGCTCTTCATTGCATGTTTCATATTGCTCAAAATATTCCACTTAATTTGAAAATAGTCTTAAAGACCGTTATGATGAGTTTATTAAAGACTTCTTTAAAGTACAGCAGAGTAGCTTTATAACCATTTTCGAATACAAATGGAAATGTCTAATCGAAAAATATAATAATGAAAATGTAGTTAACTACTTACAACGAATGCTTTATGTTAATAAAGAATCATGGGCAAAGGCGTTTGTACTTAAATTATTTACTGCAGGGATGTCATCGACTTCTCAGATGAAAAGTTATAATTCTAAAATCAAAAGGTTGATATTTAATTCGAACACAACACTGTTAGAGCTTGCAGAAAAATTGTCTCTATGCATTCTTAAAGAGGATAAAAGGACAGAATACGCATTATTTCATGCATCAATCCCTAAAACTGTTCTTGTTGCGATGGCCGATACTATCCTTCCAACTGTCTGTAATATATTACAGAAATATTTTACAGTGGAAATGTTGAAAATTCAAGAGGATCAAATTAAACAAGCACTTCACTATCATGGTGTAATAGTAAATAAAAATGAATTACAATGATATTTTAAGGTAATTAAGAATGTGATCATACTATATTAAGAAGTCGTCTAAAGTCTACAGATCGATTCATAATCAATTTAAAAACTATAACGACTTCCATATTAGTCGTAACCTGCATTAATAATTCCTAACTTTACTTTAAATATTGGTAATCACATATAAATTTAGATTAATCTTGATGATCCTGCCTTATTTGACAATAGCCCAAGTTATACCAATATCGTTGCCAAATCAATGCTTAGCCTTGTTGAAAATAATAAGATCTTAGAAATTTGGGGGATTCGACAAGTAATATCTAATGATATACGGCACTTTGTAGTACTTCTGGATGATGGGACTCACTTATGTTCTTGTTTTGATCACTGTAATCGTGGAATCGTTTGTCAGCATTTTTTTTAAATAATGCTATGTTCACAGGCTGCAACATTTCATATTCAGTTAATAAGATCACGATGGTATAATGATAATGAAACCAGTAACAATTCTGCTCATGAACCATTTTTGGTTACACAAAAATTCGAAATAGAACAACCAGTAACGAGTTAGAGTGGTCCAGTCCCTTATCTTAATGCACTAGTTCAGGTTTAAGATATGCATAATATAAATTGTAAAATGATAGATAAGCGTAAGTTATATGGAGAAGCATGGGGAAAAGCAAGAGCAGCCTTGATGATAGCTGTTTGAAGAAATGACCAAAGTTTTATTGCGATGCTTGATAAGTATATAGATAATTGTAATGAGTTATTGTCTGATGGTGACACAGCTTCAAGTAGTGAAAGTGATGATAATCATAATGTAACTGAAAAAGGAAAGTTAAATCTAAGCAAGCTAATGAATCCTCATAAACGTAAGGGTAAAGGTCGACCAAAAGGGACAGGCAGAATATGACATGCAGGCAAACCGTCAAAAAAGACAAAACGTTAATTATATTGTAAGATTTGTAGTGGTGCTGATCATAATCGAGCAACCTGTTCTCGAAGGCAAGAATAGTTATTACAATGCTTTTCTATAACTAAAAGCTGTTTATTTTGAATCTGCTGATAATAATATGTATAAGTAGTACCAAGAAAATTAGAAACCTAATAATGAACTCATAATCAGATTTCATATTTTTCCTGGTGTGCAAAATTTGCTATATACCCAATTGTTTTTGTTATTTGTCTAGCGATTGTTTTTATGATCAGAATAGTTATTTAAGATACCAAATTGTTTGTGTCTCACATTTATACTAATATTTCAAGCAAATCGAATGATTTTATATACTGTGTAAGTATAATTTCTTGGACTTTAGCGTTAACAGCCTGAAAAAAAAAATGCTGTTAGAGTCAGCTTTCGCTAGATTATTTATTACCGAAAGTTCTCAAGAATAATATGAAGGTTATTTTAGGTAAAGTATTGAATTAGGGATAAATTTTTAGATCATCTTGATACTAGAACAGTCTCTAAGTTTTATTTCGATTAAAGTTTAGGAAGTTTAGGTTTGAGTTGGGATTTCATACTTAGTATGAATCTTACATTTACGTATAACGATATATATTTGAATCTACGTAATACGATGCATGAAAATTATGGGCCTTGCGAATAGTGACAATATTATCGTTATCATAATAGCTAAAGTTACATGACATTCACGTAACTTACGGATGCAATAATAGCTATAGCTAGGGTTAGAGTTGGCAAATTCATTTTAGTAAAGCCAATATTATTGTATCCATTATTGTATCCACAAGCACATGAATGTATCTATAGCAATTACCAAAATTTGTCTGTATAACTGTATTGATATTTATTATTAAGTTTTTTTAAT